GCTTTTGTGAATATAAAGAGCGTTTGCTTTGGTTGTTCTCTTGTTCTTAGACAATTTTAAGTTCATTTTCCTGAATAATTGTGTGAAGGGTCGATTTAAACTTCATCCTGGGTGTCACTGTGCTATGGAGAGCAGTGGCGCCAAAATACTTGAGAGGATCAGAGCCGGGTTTGGTTTGGCGAAGGAGGCCGCGTGGCTCTGTTGTGTGACTTGGAGGATCTCATGGTCCAGAATCTACCCACAAGAGAAGAACATTACATTCGGCTTTAGGTTGCCTTATAATTCTTCTATCCTGTCTAAGGTGCAGGCTTTGAACACGTGGAATATGCTTGAAGCCCCATGAGACATTCCAAGCTTAAGGGGCTTCTTCAAAGTAATCCCAAGGTGCAAGTACTTGTGCAAGTGTATACTATGTATTGGTAATTCAAGAACTACCTAATGCACTGCCTGCTACATGGCTATATAAGAGCCATATAAGAGGACTGGTTTTAGCATTAGCCATTGCTGGAAATCGGGTACCAGTCAAGGGTATTTATTTATGTTCTTGGTTAGTGATCATGGCTGAATGGATGAGTTCAAGTTGTGTCCAAGTGTGGATCATTCTTGCCCCTCTGTATGTATTTCTTTGAATTGGTGATCTGCAAGAGCACATCAAAATATTGTTGAAAAATTTTGCAGCTGAGGAAAAGGACAGGGCAGAAATCGCTGCAGGAGACCAGGCGCGCAATGCGGGGCAGCCGGGGTGACCTCTTCAGCTCGCTAAGTCTCCATAAAGCCAAATGGGAATCTCACATCCAGCAAAGCAGAGCCCAGGCTGCAGTTACAGCCGGCTGCCCCCCTTCAGAGGAGCACCGACAGTGAAAAAGAGGGCTGAACAGTTGATCAATGCGGTGTGCCTTGGCCTCTGATGTGGAACTCATGGGTAATAACGGAGAGGTCATTTTGTCCCTGTAGCTGGCAGGGGGTGACTGCGCTCGAGATGCAACTTGCAGGTTTGGGATATTTACAGGTGGATTTTAAAGACGAGAGAACAGCCACAGGAATGATGAAAGGAGTGAAAAACTTTATTCTAAGCGGGACATTCAGGAAACTCCAGCTTTTTCAGTCATCAGAAATTTGAGAACAGGGGAATCTTTTCACAAAAAAAAAAAGAGAGAGAGAGAGAAGAAAAAAATGGAGTGAGGGGGAGGGAGGCAAAAAGAAAAGATTTTTGCTAGCAGCTGAACTGAGATAAATGAAAATTCCCAGCTGGACGCAAATTGGTAAGAGGACAGATTTTAAGCATTTATTGTGGTGATTGTGGTTTCTCTTCTGTCACAAAAAGCATCTTGCAACATATTGTCTTAGGAACACATTACTTTGAAGGAGATTTAAGAGAATTCCAGGATTAGATTTTTGAAAATAGGGATATTGGAGGTGGCCATGCCAAGTGGCCTTTGCCACCTGATACGTAGCTAGAAGCAGTTAACAACGGAGCTGGCCAAACCTTCCCTACTGAAGCCGAAGGAGCCCCCTGTGCTTGGGCTACAATCCCCTGGCTGGGGGCATAGGGGTGGTGCTTTGGCCGAGTGCCAGCAGGGACTCAAAAAGTGTTCCAACTTGGTTAATCCCAAAGAAAATATGGAAAGTTAAGGTGAATATGAATTAAAATGTGAGCAAAAGGAGGTTTTGTCAGCCCACGTGCTGTGATCTTGTGCTGCCCATGTGTGGCTCCACGTTGCAATCAGTGGATGTAGGCTGTAGTAGGATGTAGTGCTATAGCAGTTAAAGCCAGGGAGCTGGCCACAATCTAATTGCCTCAAGTAGTTATTTTTTAACTCAAACTAGGGCCTGAACCTTGGTTATAGTTCTAATGCTGCCATTAAAGCCAAGCTGTAATAGAATAGCCATAATATAATAAATGAAGTTTCTTGTTACCATTTTCAAACTGTGGTGTTATAAAAAGCTGGTGCTCCTGACACGGAGCCGCAGCTTCCATGGGCCTTGTGTGTGTGAATTCAGGTTCACGCTTTTCCGGGCGGTCTGGCCATCCTCTGCGCTTTCGGGTGACCCAAGGCCAGCACGTGTCCCGATTGCGCCCAGTTCTCTGCCTGTCACGCACTCTCTGTGCTGCGAGCAGTGACGGGCCTTGTGTGCGAGGCCGCTCCAGGCCTAGGCCGCAGTCAACCCTGTGAGCGCTTCCTAGCGCAGCGGTAGGGTCCTCAACACCAAACCTTTCTGCTGCTTTCAACATGCAGCACCTGCTGCTAAACCCCCCAGCAAAGGAGACCCTGGGGACGTGGCCGGCACCTCCAAACTGCCGTTCAGCTCCACCGCGTGTGCAGGTTGCTGCTCAAGCTGATGTGCAGGGGCCACTTAGGGCTAGTGCCCTGCCAGATGCCCTGAGTCAGGCTGAAACTGTAGAGGTCTCAAGTGTGGTCCTCAGGTAGCTCTTCTGCTTCTCTTGTGCATGGGGTTTGTCCCTCAAGAGCTCTCTGAGCTACGTATCCCAAGTACCTTTGAAAATCAATAATCAAGTCATTTAATTTTTCTCTTACGCCCGTCTCCACTGAATTGGAGATGAAGTTCTTTTGACTCAAAATTTCACCCTGTAAGTGAACAGATGCTTGCAAAGAGTTGAAGTCCTTGGCCAAAACCTCCTGCAGTTCTGTGAATTCTAGTTCTATGATATTTCAGCTGCATATTTAATCAAGGACAGCCAATCAGTTCATGATTGTGATCCTGCAGACCAAAGCACTTGTGAGTGCACAAGGTTTTTGTGCATAATGTCTAAACTAGTGACCTGCATCTCTCTGGATCTTTAAGGAGACCCCTACTGCCATTCAGGATAGAGTTATTAATAAAAGGCTGTATGGGAACTGGAAAAATGCTTTTCTGGGGAGAGAAAATGGTAGGTATATGTTCCTAGATAGATGATGGCGGGGGCGAGTGACCAGCTCTTTGTATGAAGTTTGTTTATCAGGGTGCTGTAGCTGAGGAAAGGTTTGTTAGGATAAGGCATTCCCTACATGGTTTGCACTGAGCTATCTGTTATTCTTATGCCTTTTGCTCAGACCTGACTTCCAGTGAAGGAATTAGTTGTAGGCTTTTGCTTGGAAATCTTAATTATTAGTTGATCTTGGAGTGGCTAATGGTAGTTGCTGTACAAGGCGGTCGCCCCTAAAAAAGTGGGGTAGAAAATACAGTGAAATTCAGGAAAAGGGAGGTAAAAATGTATTTCTTTCCAGTTGACAGGGAATTAAATAGCTTTCCAAAGGCTGCAGGCTGGAGTTTGTAGAAAGCCAAAAATTTTTTTGCTCGCCTGGAACAACATTCTGTTCTGTATCTCTGAAGCCTGTTTTGCAAGGGCATTTTAGCGAGGAATTTCAAATTTCCTTTGGTTTCATCTTCACAGATGAAGGCTTTATCTGAGCATCAGCAGAGGCTGAGGGGAAGCCTTCCTGTGGTGGATGTGGGCTGACCAAAGCATGTCTAGCAAAGGAAATTACCTCTCTGGTCGCACATTAGAGTGTCCTCTCCTCAGAAGGGAGGCGAAACAGCTCTGGAAGCAGCACCTTAAGGGTAAACATCCCCAGAAACAGTTATGGCTTAGACATTTTTGGTTTGTCATGCAACACTTTAAAGTTGTCTCTCCTTTTGCAAAGAGGAAAACAAATCGACTCTAATGTTTTAATCAGTTTTCAGCTGGTACATGCATGGAAAATTGTGTTCACACAGTAACAGAAAAATGGGAATTTATGGAAAATAACATATTTGGCGGGGAAAACATTGATCTTTTTAGTATTCATTTTTACAGAAGAAAAGCAGTTGTGAGATTTTTGTGAGAATGACAAACAATTGTGTGAACCACTTCTTTCTTTTGAATAGAGACTCCTCTTTAGTAAGGCAGAAGAATTATACCAAACATTTAAACAGTCTTAATAATTGTTCTCTGATAACTAGTTTTTCTCTGCATCCTACCTATAGTTCTTCTGCAGCCACTGGAAATGACTTCAGTCTGTTTAGGAGTCCCTTTAAGTTAAGTACTAAATGTATATAATAATAAATATCAATGTATTACTCTGCCAAAAGGACATTTTATAATGGATGTTTTGCATATATCTGTTGTATGCAAACATTGATATAAGGATTACCCCTGAATTAGAGAGATTCTCCCATACTATATTCTTTGTTGATATCTAAAGCTTTTCATCGTTCTGGAAATTAATTGCTGAGCAGGCTGCGCTACAGATGTTTTGTTCAATACAAACTTCAAACACTTAGGTAGCTTTTACACTTGCAGTCAAGCTCAATAAGGACTATTTTGGGGAAGTGCATGCGAACCAGGCTATGCAGTTTCGGTGAGGAAGCAAGAAGTGTAGTACCCACAAAATATATATAGCAAATGGATGACTCAGGTTGGACTTCGCTTAGAAGGCAGGTTCTAATACAGCTCTGATAGGAGTGAGGATATTGAGTAACTGGAGAGGGATGTCATATGTTTCCATACTTAGCTTACATATCTACTCTTTATGAATAAGTTTTCTTATGCTGCTTATATCTTTTTTTTTTTTTTGAAGGTACTTCTCTGATTTCTGTATGTGCTGGAGACTGGAGATGTTTATTAATTAAAAGGGGTTGGAAAGGACTTTTGATAAATCTCGCTCTCATTTTATGCCACTCAAGTGAACAGATGGCTTGCATTTTTTACTATTTCTAAGACTTTCCAGAATAAAAACGTGATTTCTTCTTTGTGTTAAAAACAATTTGAAGTTACAAAATTAAAATATGAATTTCCAAATACTCTCATTTTCCGAGTTCTCCATTAGCATTTATTGTTCCGATGCACAATGTAGAATCAGCAGTTCTTCCTCAGGTAGCTGGGAAAATGCTGGGCTTTCCAAACAACATCTGAGAACAGCAAGATCTCAGGTGCCCGAAGCATCAGCTAAAGGTGGTCGTCAGAGATGAAGTGCCAAAGTTCAAATTAATCCTTCATTTCTCCTTCTTGCCTTTCTTAGGAAACTACTGGAAGAATGTTGTGACCCTGGCCAGCTCTTTGCCATGACAAAGCAGAACTCGCCCATGGGAAAGAATCTCTGGTTTGATGGGGAATTGCTGTATTCTTTCACCATTGATAATGCAACTTACTCGCTCTTCCCACAGGTTAGTAGCTTTGCTCTGTCACCTTAATTATCAATATATTAATGTATGCAGTGGTAGCACGGTGCAAGAAATAGTGTTATCTTCATTTCTCAATACAAAATGCTCTCATCTGCTTTTCTATTATTTCTGTGGCGTATTATGAAATAGTGGCTTGTGTGTTAATATTGCCCTGTCACTTTCCAGGATCGGTCCCTTCAGATATAAGAAAATCATGAGACTGGGTTGCCCTTCTTGATTTTTAAAATAACAGTAAAGGCTGTTATTTTAGAAAGGTGATGCCTGTATTTTAGTTGCTGATCATGCTCACAAACATAGGTTTCAAACTCTGACTCTTGCCTTTGTTAAATGAGGCCTGAGCCTCTTACATAATCCTGTGTCCTCAGAGCTGGTGCTTTAAATAAAACATCAAATCTGGCAAGACGTGGGATGACACTGCGAGAGCTGGCAGCGCTGCAGGACGCAGAGGTGAATCTGGAGGGAAACGGGCTTCGCTCACATAGCACTTAGAGACCTGCCAATATCATTGGCATCCATCTCTCTAAACTATTTGAAATGGCAGTTTCTGGCCTGTATTTAGATCCAAGCTCAAACTGATCAGTTCCCTTGATGTCAGTAGAATTTGGCTGGGTTGTGTTAAAAGGCATCCAGAGAACTAGAATTTTACCTCAGTTGCCCTGATGTAAATTATCTGGAGTAATTCCTGGTCCCTCTCGAGTTCTCATTTAGAATTACTTCAGTTTCAGTCTGTTTAACTAAGGGGTGATGGCAGTTTGTTTAAAGGTATCCAAGTTACTTTCAAGTTAGTGATGGTTCCTGATGGCAAGCAATGTGAGCCCGATAACAGAAGCCAATAACATCATTTAGTCCATTCTGGCTGTGTTTAGAATATTAGAAATGGTTTGTTATTTTTCAGTAAAGGTGTTTTTGGATAAGAGTAGCCTTACTGACTGCTGGGAGTTTGTAATACTGATCTAGGCTTCTCTTCTTGTATTTTAATATATGAATTGATACTAAACAATGACATTATTATACTGACTTTTGTACATGGAATCAGATCTATTTTATTTTGCTGGAAGTTAAAGGAAGACCAAACATTGGAGATTATTGCCCCAAGTTCTTCCACAGAAAATTGTGGCATGCTAGATAGGCTCCCTCAGAGAGGTAAATGCTCATTAGAGAGGAGTTATGATTCAGGGAGCCAGCAGCTTCCCACCTTCCAGGCCTATTCCAAAAGTTTATTGGTTGGAAAGGTAACGTGACGGACAACAGGAGCTAATGAGTTGGGACTTCAGGGTCCCTTGGTCTATTCTTCTTGACAGTGAGGGTGACAGAGCCCTGGCACAGGCTGCCCAGAGAGGTTGTGGAGTCTCCTTCTTTGGAGATCTTTAAAACCCGCTTGGACGCAGCCCTGTGCCACGTGCTCTAGGTGACCCTGCATGTGCCTGGGGTTGGACTAGATGACCTCTGAGGTCCCTTCCAACCTTGGGCATTCCATGGTTCTATGATTCTAAAGCGATGGCTGGATGTTGTGTGGCGGGGGGAAGGCTGCATTTTATGGTGTCCCACCTCTAAAACAGTTCTGAAAAGCAATTCCAGGACCAGTTCTAGAAATATTATTCCACTAATGAATTAATGAATACTTCATTACTGACAAATGCTACTCACAGCTCCCCCAGCCAATCACCTTTTTAAGAACCATTTTCTGTAGCTTGCTTGATTATTCCCATATATTTTGCCCAGAAGAATTTTGTAAACCTCTATCTGATAAAACCCTGTTAGGCTTAACAGCTTCAGGAAGACTTACTAGTAGTGAATTCTTAAGTTATTTTCCAGCATGCTGTCTGTTTCTAGAAAAATACTAGACCAAATGTGTCAGGCCCTGTGCTTTGAAGAATGGCTTCTATTAGTTTAGCTGCAACTGGCAAGCAGTTTTGTGAAGATGAATATTCCTTTCAAAAAATTCAAAAGCTTAAAAGCACTTTAGGGTGGGTTATACTCTGAAATGCTCAGGGGATGAGACAGGAATGCAAAGGGCCGCAGCTACGTTGATATAATCGAAAAAATATTTCCTCTAGGATTAAAAAAAAAAAAAAAATTAAAAAAAAATGCTCCATCCACATCAATCTGCTGGGTTTAAGCCAGTTTGCATTGCAGAAAATGTCTCTTCTCAATCCTGAACCAGTTATTAACTTACAGCATAAAGTAACTGAAAACTAAATGGGAAACTTGCTATGTGTTATGGAATAGAAGAAGCTTGCTATGCCTCAGTGGAGTCTTATGGAGAAATAATGCAAGGATCTCGGGCCTTAATACATAAAACGTCACTTATTACTGAATGTGAAAAATGCAAAATGGAATATTATTCTTATGAGTGATTTGTGTGCTTAAAGTTATTAGAACTGGTTCAACATTTTCTGGTGAAGAGGTTTTTCACTGAAATCAATTCTTTGCTTTTCAAATTTTCTTTGAAGTGAAAAGATGAAAAGGTTTTGGTAATGTTAGACATCTTATTTTACTGTTTTTGCAATTTTTTTTTATATATATATATATATTCCTACTGCAATGGTAGGTGGTTTTTTTTTTTTTTTTTTTTTTTTTAGATTCAGGTATTTGATGGATAGAATGAGAAATATGTTAAAAGGGGAAGAAAAAAGTCACTGTGTGGAAAACTGCAGCATTCTGACTTCCAACTTATAGGAACAAAGTTTGAAGCTGCAGATTTTTCCAGGAACCCAAAAACGCCCAGTTGCCAGACGTTACAGCCCAGTTGCAGCCTCCTACTTTTCCCTTCCATCTCTATTTATTTCTAGAATTAATGTTTTGAAACAGAAATGAAATATTACAGAATGTGAAACCTTTCCCCTCTCCGAGAGCAACCACCGTTGGTTCGTTATCAGCGCCCAAAGGACGGGTGATGACGTGAGGTGTTTCCTTCCCGGGACGAGGCCCGTCCTGCTGCCTCCCTGCAGCGCGAGGGAGATCCCACCTTGTCTCCCAGATGTAGCAGTGGAGAGTTGCCTGCAGCTCTCGGATGATACAGCCTAATTGCTATTTAAATTAGACCTTTCCTGACAGTAGCTTCGTTTTGTTACCTGCCATGGTCTGCAGCACCACTTCAGAGGCCAAATATTGCGTCTGCCTATAGGTGAAGAGGTAGGTGTAGTGTCAGCAACAGCAGCTTATTCTTGCTCTGTGTCTTCCTAGCTTTGTACATAGGCCTGAGGTTTGCAGTATTAGCCAGTGGATTTGGCTCCGTGGCTGAGGACCCACCGCCGCATCGTGCAGGGATGCGGATCACCCTCCTCTAGCTGGAATCAATGGGGAAACTGAGTAACCCAACGGCGATGCCTCAGGTTGGACACGGAGGCCTTGGGTGACTCCCTGTAATAAGCCACATACTATACTGCGAGTGGCTCTGTGTGTGGTAAGAGTCCAGGAGTCCCGTCCCTCGGGACTCGATACCTGCTGCTTCGTTTCGCCTCGTGTAGCTGGGGCCCTGCTGGGATGTAGTGAGTTGTGACAGAGCATGGCTAGCACGGGCTCCCCTTTCTGACTCAAATGGAAGAAAATGGGACTCTATATGCACGTTCCCGCAGCAATTTTAGATGCTGTGAGTAAATGGGAAGAGGAGTCACGGAGTAACTCAAAACCATGTGAGAGAAAAGTGAGCGAAGTCATCTGTTTTGAAGGTAGAGAGGAGAAAATATCTTGGTCTCAAACATTTTCCAGAATAATATTTCATTTGTTCCCATTTTTTTCTTCCTCAAAAGTTTCCAAACCAAACTGCAGTCCCTTTTGTCACCAGGGAGCAAACTCACCGTGCTATTGACCCGTTTAAGCAATTTTTTGTTTGTTTGTTTGTTTTCATTTGGCCAAAGGTTAAAGCAATGGATGAATTTCCAAGTTCCTCTCCTTACCTCTCAAGAAACACTAAGTGTTATTTTGTGTGTGTGGGGGGAGAGTGGAGAGTGTTTTTGGAGGGAGAGGAGAGAATACATTTCACAAAAAAACTCCACAAATTTTATTTTTGAAATTTTAATTTGATAAAATATAATCAGCTGATAAAACCTCTTCAGATTCCCCACCAGCTTCAAATTTCTTCAAAATTTTCCCCCTGAATAATGTCACCAAGTAGAAAAATGGCTGCTTGCAATGAGCTTCCTGTGAATAATCATCTTTTTGTAAGTAATCTACAAGAAACCTACAGAAAATAGCTTCAGACTACAAATAAGTTTGGGAAAAGAGGCAGTTATTTCTAGACACATCCTGATCAGGAGAGAGGCTGTATTTGTCAAATGTTAATTAGAATTTATTCAATTATTTCTCTTGGTTGCTTATAATATCCCTCAATTGACCAGAAATTTTTAATATGTATTTTGCTGTGGTTGAATTTGGCTGTTGAGGGAGTGCTGTGGCAAAGTGGGCTCCATGGTCCTGCAGTTAGTAGAATATTTTGTAATTATTTCCGAAAATGCAGACTTGGAAAGCGAGTTTGATGTAAAATACATTTGCTCTTTCCCTTTTTGTGCGACTGCAGGGTCACAGGAAAGAAAGATGTATTTGGCCTGAGGAAAAATGGTAGTTTGGCATAAATAAAAGGCAAAGGTGAGCGCATAGGTATGAATGAATGCTAAGTTAGATTGGTGTAAGAAATGAAGCCTGCCTTAAGGGGAGAATTTAGCTTGCTGAAGGCAAAGCCTGTGTGTTGTTCTGCCTGATTTTTAGACCCAGATGACAGTGTTGACCCTAAAATTGTGCATCAAAGGGGAGACTGTGTGAAGTGTAGGGGTTGGGTCCTGATGGACTGCAGTGTCTCCAGGAGATGCCAGGCTATTAACTTTGGAAGCGTTTGGCTGTTTCCTCTGTTATTTTTCGCTAGCAATCAGATGTGCAGCGGTACTGAGTTCCCAGTAAGGCTGTGTTTGTGCTTAATTGCTCTTGGGGTAGTAGATGAGGACATTGGCAAGACATTTTCAACCTCATTTTTTTCCTTTCTTGAT